TGCGGGAGAGACGGGCACAGGATGCCTGCAGCAGCAGTCACCCATGGCCCCAGCTACAGAGGACAGGGTGCCCGGCTCTGTGGTGTCAAGTGGATACTGGACTAACTCCTGCATCACCCCTGGGTGCCCTTGGCCCCACCTGCAAGCTCTCCCGCCTTAGTTTTCCACCCTCCAGACCACGACAGCAAGGTCAGCCTCTCAGAGACAATGATCAGGAAGGCAGAGAAGCAACACTGCAGGGGCTCAGGATCAGGGTCGATGGTGGTGGTGGCTGTCACTCAGCTCTGTCCTCACTTCCTCAGGCTAAGCAGGGAGGAAGTAAGCGCTTCTGCTGAGTAATGCACTGCCAAAGAAATCTCCGAGAAAGAAGTCAAACCCTGACATCCTTGAGCGTTTACAGCACTAAATATTTTAGGTGGCCACACAGCAGTGAACACAGACACACGCCTCCAGGAGGCTCAGCCCCTCCACTCTGGGGGGCCCCACTGCAGCTGGACCCCGAGCTCATGGCTCTGCCACCACAGATACAGGCGGCCAAATCAAGCAGGGTGTACAGCGAGGCTCAAGGTTGCTGGATGTCCAAATGCACTCGCTCTCGGGTCTGCGGCAGGACCACCACTCGGGAAGACCCGACAGGCTGCCGAGGAGACAGTGTCACAGAAGATGAACACATCACACATGCACCTTGGGACCCGCCGGGGATGACTGGACAGGCGCACAGAAGCTCAAGGTCAGGAAGGACTCGAGAAAAAGATCCCCACCACCCCCAGGGGCATCTGTGACCAGATGCCAAGGGGCACTCCCCCCAGCAGGAATGCCAGCCCTGAAGATCAAATCCTGAGATGTCCTCTGTCCCTGAAGGATGCTCACAGTTAACCCTGGAGTCCTCCAAGTCCCCCAGGGGTGCGTGGTACTGGGTGAGGGGTTTGGCTGACCACCAAACCCTTCACTCCCAGGCACAGGGAGCACGTGTAGACTCAGCAAAGAGCCAGGCCCTCTGTGCCCCACAGCCCACGACAGACCCTCCGTCTTCCAAGGCGGGGAAGGGACTATGGCCTGGCAGCCCTGCAGCACAGGACACATGCTCTGAACAGGTGAGGGGAAGCACAACTTTAAAAATGCTTAGGTCCAGCTTCTGTGAGAAACATCTCAGGCCCCGTTTCCTCTCAGCACAGACACACCTCAGATTAATTAAATGCCTGCTCCTCTTGCTGACACCAGCTGCTGCCGCAGCCTAGACTCTTGGCCACCACGGATGATTCATCCCGCCACCCTTGCGTGGCGGAGTCTTACAAAGCCCTTTCCCCACCAGCGGTTACCTAGCAACAAGCCTAGCAACCTCACAGCCAAGAGATTAATCCCTGCATGAGGATCATAAAGTAACATCCAAAACGACCTGTCATTTCGAGGATGGCATCCAAAGGCACACAAAGACGAGGCGTGCCCAACACACAAATTAGAGACAAAGGGGACACGCTGTTTACCTGTTGCTTCAGTATCTGAAAGGCAGGATCTCCTTCTCATGCTCACACAGGAGCAGCCCTGCGGCCAGGGTGTGCATGGTACATATGGGCCAGCGAGGGCAGCTCCTCCGTCCCGACCTTCCTGTTCCCACACCCGCTGGACCCGGGGTTCAGCAACCAGGCTCCTCCACAGGATGGCCACATGCCTTCTGTGTGCATGCGCTCGGGGACGTCACAAATGTCACTGTGCCATAAAAGGCTGGGGACCGTTCCCGAAGGGCGGGCACTCAGCATTCCCAAAAGGTTCCAGCCAGAAAGTTTCCAAGACCTGGCAGACACCGGCACCACCCAGAGAGCAGGCGAAGGTGCTCATTCCCAGGCGGCTGGCCCAGACACACCTGGGGAATGGGCTTGGAAGGTGGCCCCTGAACACAGGCCACTCAGCTACTAAGGTCCGGCCACGGTGTCCCTGTGTCCACAACAGGCTACCTGGCTCTGATCACACCTCTCAGGCTCCCTGACTGGGAGGCTGCACAGGTCCCCGTGGAGGACATACACCCGTAACCGGCCCACAGACAGGGCTCCCTCAGTGAGCTGACAAGGAGCTTCCATGAGCAATGGACCCACGGGGATGCCCTGGAAAGCGCGCCAAGGCCCCCTCACCAGGGGCCGGCAGCACCATCAGTCACGCATTTACTCAGCAAGCTGCTGCACGGGGTGCCAGGAAAATGGTATCCAGGATGCCATCCGCTGGCACAGGCTACCAGTGAGTCAGTTCTGTGTGTACACAGAGTCCCCACACCCTCAGTCTACAGCCAGCACTCTTGCCTCGGGGGCTGCCACGGCCTGGTTCCCTTCCCAAGGTCACCGACTTCTCAAGGCCACCCCTGGGGACCCCAGACTGCAGGGTCCCTGCACACATCCCCCAGTGCTGGGATTTCCGGCATACGCCACCTCTCCTGGCTCGCAAGGAATCTCGGCCACCCTGTAACCATCCCAGGGGCTGCCAGCTCCCCAGAGAGGGGACCCGGGAGAGGGGCTGGCAGGGGGACGAGGGAGCTGGCATGGGGTGGCCTGAGGAGCCTGCACCTGTGCAGACTCCAGCACAGGGGCCACACTGAGCCACAGCAGCCTGGCCCGGGTGCAAATGCACCAAGCAGGGATCGTGGAGGGGCAGTTGGCCCCGCAGCGCAGTCACCTCGGGTTGAGACTTCCCACCAAGCTGGGGCGGAGGCAGAGCAGGCTGCCTTGGGATCCTGTGCTCTGCCTCAGTTTCCCACAGCCATAGGATGGAGATGACAGCGGCGCCTGCCTCGTCGGTGTCTATAGGGCTGGGTGAGAAAACAAGCCCAACCAGCTAGAAGAGGTCGGCTCGGCTCCCGGGAGCACACGCTGCAGTCTGATGCTGTCACAGCCTCCTTGAGAAGGCAACAGGGACGCGAGGGCGGGGGCGGCTGATCCAGCGGAGGGGCCCCAGGGAACTTCAGCCCTGTGCAGGTCTGGACTGGGGGCGGGGAGCTTCCTGCTGGGGCTGGAGCCTGGGCCAGGGCCCTGTGGTCAGGAAGATGCTGCCTTTAGTTATTTGTCATTTACGTTTGTGTTTTGAGACAAGGTCCTCATTATAAGGTTCAGGCTGGACTTGAGTTCCCTATGTAGCCCAGGCTGGCCTGGAACTCTCGGTGATCCTCCTGCCTCAGCCTCCTGAGTGCTAGGATTACTGGTATGGGTTCACCACTCCTAGCTTTTGAAATTTTTATTTTTTTAATTTAAAAAAATTTTTATTGTTTTGAGACTGGATCTCACTAAAGGCACTGACTTTGGAGCCAGAGAGTCATGGGGAATAGTGGCCACTTGTGAACACCTAAGACTCATGTGAGGGCCCCATGAGGAATGGGCTGGGAGTCATGAAGAGGGACAGAAGCTAAGCACAGAACACTCTGGCTGGTGTGAGGGCAGCCGTCCTGCCACAGCAGCCAGCCCCCTGCAGGGCACGGATCATCTGAGGCCTTCCAGGCCCTCGGGCTCCAGGCAATAGAAGCCAAGGAATCGAAAGGTCCCAGCCGTGGCAACGGACAGCCCTGGCGGCACATGTGCGTCACCCCTGCCTGGAGTAAGAGACCCAGGGGCCTTTACAGGTGACCTTGTGGGAAAAGCACAAACCAAGGACACAGCAGGGACAGAGCCTGGCACACACCGATGCTCAACAGAGGGAGCAGCCGCTCAGGGGCCCTTACTGCTCCCTGCTCTGCAGGGACCAAAGTGACAGGGCTGAGAGGCACAGCACAAATCGAGAGCAGAAGCCCAGATACCCCTGGACATGGTGACACCGAGACCCTGACTTCAAGGTCACTCCTGCCTTGACCCGGGTCAGCAGCTGCTCCCAGGGGGCAATGGGCAGGTGAGGCCCCTGCCCATGTCACCGGCCAGAGCAGGGGACAGGTGCCGACCTGGACTCAGTCCCTCTTGGCCTGGCCACAAGCCTCAAACGTGTCAGCTGTCGAGCCGGGAGCTACCACAGGGCATCTCAGGCACCGCAGCACAGACTTCAGTGCTCCTAGCGTCCTCAGCTGGGAAACAGGCAACCACACAGCACCTGCCATGCCTCAGAAGGCAGTGGGCAGGGGCTGCGGGAGGAGGAGGAGGAGGAGGAGGAGACTGCCCACTCAGTGAACACAGCCAGGGGTGCAGAAGAGAGCCAGGCGGATGGAGGGAAGGACGGATGTGAAGGTCACATCAGCCCCAGCGCTCCCCAGTCTCTCCACCGAGCCCCTCTCTGGCTTCCCTTTCATTTATTAACCAGCAGGGACAGTTACCTCCTGGAATTGACAAGATTAGCCTAGGAATGAAACAGGAGATGATATGCAGAGGTGCTCTGGACCGCGCAGGGAGGGAGTCCCGATGCACCCCAATAAGAGCAGAGAGCTAGCACACCCAGGGGGTGACCAGAGCACCAGCCAGGGAGCCTCTCCAGGCCCAAGAACCCACGCTGTCTTCTGATCCAGCCCTGTTTGTCTGGGCGAAAAGCACGGTTGCCCCTCCTCTCCTGCTCCCCAGAGTGGGTCCCACCCAGACTGGCTGGGCTCCACCCCTTCTGCGGCCCCCCTCCCAGGAGGGCAGAGGTACCCGTCCTGGCTCCTAGTCCTGCTGAGGCTCAAGTCCTGGAGCTCACGCAGCTGAGGAGCTCAGAGTCAGTCTGGCACGCGGTAAGCGCTTTGTGTTAATTTTTTGATGCTGTCTGCTTCCTTCCTGGAACTGTTAGGCAAATGTTTGAATGTTTGGCAAGTGACTTTTTCTCGTGTTTATTATAACTTTGTCACAAAGAACGTTTGTGAGTGGGTTTGCCCTGTTATAAAAATAAGTAATAGGCGATCATTCTGGAAGTCGAAGACAAGGAAAGATTTTCTACAAGCCAGGAGGATGACACCTTGGTGGGCAACTGCACAGTGGATGGGCTCCCACTCCTCTTCCGTCCCTCTTGTTCCACACACCTGCTGCGGGTCACCTCTGCAGAGCTCGCCCCGCCCCAGGCCCGCTCACCTTGAACCTCTCGGTGACGCCCTCCGTGATGCTGACTGTGAACTCCGCAATCTTGGGAGGACGCGCTTTGCCTTTCTTGCGGTCAGGTTCATACTCCGTCTTCGTCTTCACGACCACCTTAGCAGGGAACAGAGCAGCACCAGTCAGTGGTGAACCCAGATGTGCTCAACATTGGTCCCCAAGCAGGCGGGGCTGGGAACGATCGTGTCCAAGGCCACCATTTTGCCAGGAAGCAATTCCCAAGCAGAATGAGCACAGCCGCCTCTTACCGGAAACCTCCCTGTGCCAGCACTTCAGGTTCATTATGCACTCAGAAGCAGGAGCTTCCCCAGAGAGACCGGTACAACAGGGCAGAGAGGTAAGCGTGCTGGCTAATAAAAGGCAGGGTACAGGCTGCACGACATCGACTCCTAATCCAGTGCTCCTTCCACCCAGCAGAGATGCGTTGGCCGGCGTTGGCCCAGGGACTCGGGAGGCTGCGCCTGCTTTTGCCAAGGCCCATCTGTGCCACCTGCCCACTGTAGGCAAAATCGGATGGTCAGAACACACTGTCCCGCATTCCATCACACACAGCTCCCCCAGTGGGCAGGGCAGGTGTCCCAGCCTGAGCTGGCACTTGGGTGGCACCGGTGGCCCTCACATCTGCAAGGTGGTGGCGTGCATGTGGTGGATGAATGGCGGACGGGGAATGGGACTCATCTTAGCAGGCGACAGAGGAGGAGACTGGAATCCCAGCCCAGACCAGGGACCCTCAACCTGTACCTGCAGTGACAGATTAGGTGACCTTGGACAGGTCCCTTGAACTCTCTGAGCCTTCACTTCCACATCTAAACAATGGGGCCACCTTGGCAGTGCCCTCTCGGTGTTGCCACGCTGAAGAACCTCAGCCTATAAAGTGGCAGAACAGGCATCCACCAAACATCAGCCGGGATGGTCCCTGCCATCGCTGCCCCCCGTGACATGGCCCCTCCTTTCCAGTCTCCCAGTGTGTGCACCTGGGGCAGGTGACGCTGCCTCCCTGAACCCAGACTGCTGGCAACACAAGTCCATATGGTTCCAGGTAAGAGGTCGGCTACAAGTAGAATGAGAGATCCTTCCAGACCCTTCCAGAAACTGCGTGTCCAGGGTGGCCTTAACCTTCAGCACAGTGACCTTGGGCATAGTCCAGAAACCCTCTGAGCATCGGTCTCCTCATCTATGACCTCAGAACCCTTCTAGCCCAACCACGGGTCCCTGCTGGACCTTCCTTCTGGGGCACACCTGTCTGCCAGGCACCCCTCAGTTTGAACACTCCCAAGAATGAGAGATCGGGCACCTTCCAGGGCCACCCAGGCCACCCCTGATTCCAGACCTGCCTGAACCACTCCTGCCTGTAATACGGCAACTGTGCCAGACAGTTCTGAGTGAGATAGGGCTCAGGCCAAGCAGGGGGTCACCTGACCAAGGTGCTGCTTCAGGACACAGGGTTCCTGGCACCCTGAGTGGGGACAGCTGGGGTTTCAGGTGGAGGGGAAGAGGGCATCAGGCCAGGCTTTGCTAACAGGACCAGCCTGGCACCCACATGGGGAGGGGTGGAGTGGAGCCAGAAGCCTCAGGGACCCTTCTCTGCAAAGCACATCCTGGCCCCTGAGCACCCCCAGAAAGGCCCTGCGAGGTAGTGGGTGCACAAGAGTGACCAGGTGATCCCCCTTCCCCCAGGGGAAACACCTGCTGCCAGCCCCCCACCCAAATCACAGACAATAGCTTCCAGGGAGGCTGAATTAATCTCTGGCGATCCCATGGGAACAAAGAAACCTCCAGGAAAACGACCCCACGGGGACACCTCCCACCCCACCCCTGCAGGCAGCTCTCGGAGCCCTGAGTCAGAGCCTCCCTCCACCAGGGACCAGATGAGACAATAAATGTGAAAGACCTCGGGGAGGGGGGCGGGGAGGAGCACAGCGGGAGGGTGGGGACTGAAGGCCCGCAAAGGATTTCAGATGAATCTTGCAATACAGTTGTTAAGACTTTTAAAGATCCTGTTAACCTTATCGTTAACTCTGCAATACCATCTTACTGGAGAGAGAACGACTTGACTGGATGCTACATTCCTCAAAAAGAGGACATTTTTTAATTCAGCAAAAATGCTCCGGGGAAAGACTAACAGCGGTTGTCCCCGGTTACACGGCTACACTAATACTGAGCGAGCCCGGCACTCATTAGGACACGGCGCAGAGGGAACAAAGAGAGAGGAGAAGGAAGGAGGGCCTCGTGAGAGCTCACACGGCGCTCGCCAAGGCCGGTCAGCCAGGGTAGGCAGAAAGGACCGGGAGGGGGAGCCGGTCCCTAGGGACACCCGGCCAAGCCCCCACCTCAGTGGGCCAATCGGATTGAAACGGGACCACCCGGGAAGGCACAGGGGCAGCCGCGCCCCCCAAACCACCCTGGTGCCGCGGAGCAAGGAAAGTACAGGGCAGCTAGGGGACCAGGGGCCGCTCCCCCTCGACGTGACTTCCACAAAAATCAGGGGACCGCGGTCAGGATAGAGCTGACACCCAACGAAGGGGACCCCAACATCGCCAGATCCAGAAGGCAGTGCGCGCGCGAGCGGGTACACTGTCCCCGCCTGGCCTGCCTCTGCCAGCGAGAGCCCGCCCCCCACTTCGCGTCCCCGGCGCACGCGGCGATTCTTTTGTTGCGGCTACGGGAGATTTAGGGGTGCGCATCCCGGCAGCTCAGAGGGCGCCGCGGGTGGGGGGTCTTACCTTATCCGGGGGCGGGAACTGCAGCTGATTGACGTCGAGGGGCGTCATCAGGGGAATGGTGTCGAAGCCATCTTCCAGCAGCGGCTGCTTGGTGCCCTTCTCCGCGAAATT